CATTAGGATGTGTGGACAACTTTTGGGGGCCATTATTCTGCCTATCACAGATTCAAAGCCTCCTGTGTTAGTCACTGTGCTATACTGCCTCTGAGGGGATGATAGTCCTTACAGCTCTGTTTTGAAGTGTCATGCTTAGAATCAACAACAGCAACAACTTCAATTAAAAATGCATTCTAGGCCGGGCGTGGTGGCTCAAGCCTGTAATTCCAGCACTTTGGGAGGCCGAAGCGGGTGGATCACGAGGTCAAGAGATCAAGACCATCCTGGTCAACATGGTGAAACCCCGTGTCTACTAAAAATACAAAGAATTAGCTGGGCATGGTGGCGCATGCCTGTAATCCCAGCTACTCAGGAGGATGAGGCAGGAGAATTGCTTGAAACCAGGAGGCAGAGGTTGCGGTGAGCCGAGATCATGCCATTGCACTCCAGCCTGGGTAACAAGAAAGAGCGAAACTCTGTCTCAAAAAGAAAAAATGCATTCTAAAGGTAACCATCTATGTACTAAATCATCTATATAAAGAAAACTCTGGGGCCAAGTGTGGTGGCTCACGCCTGTAATCCTAACACTTTGGGAGGCTGAAGTGGGAGCTTGCTTGAACTTAGGAATTTGAGACAAGCCTGGGCAACATAGTAAGACCCCATCTGTATAAGGTTTTAAAAAATTAAAGTAAAAACATAGAACTCTGATCTTTTAATCTTAATCCAATCTATCAATTTTTCGATGTGTTTTATAATAGAGTTATAGACTTATACAGGCATGGAGTCCTATCCCTACCATTTTTATTATTAACAATGTTTTACCATTAAGGTCCAAAATTGAATTTCTTATAAAGAACACAAGGATGTTTAAGTCCCTTGCCTGATTTAACATAGTAAATAAATGGTGAGTTATCTCATGACACATAAATTTTGCCAAACAAGGGGAATTAACTGTTGGGAGTTTGAGAGGATAAATCACAATGGGTTGGAGTATTTAGGGACATTTTAATTCAGTTTTGGGTATTGAATTGTACCCGGCAGAATATCAAGATCTATAATTGTGGAATTGTTGTAATTCTAAATATTAACTTTAGTAATGTACACTGCTGTCTTACTCTAGGCCGGGGGATTGTGGTAGGTATATTTATATATTAAAATCAACAAACAAAAATACTTGATGAGATGACTAAAACCCCCAGTCATGACACATAAACATGCTTGTTTTCTTATGTAAGAGAAGACTTTGAAAGGTGAAGACAAGAGGCAGATTAGCTCAGGACCCCAGGATTCAGGAACAACATGGTGTTGAGTGAGTTCTTTGTGTTTCTTTTTCGCCCCTTATATCCTAACCGAAAGCTGAAGAAGCTGGTAGCCCAGAAATGCCAAAAAGGACAACAAAATGCCTGAACAAGAGCTTGTTCCAGAAAGGAAAACTGAAACTTTTAGACAGTAATAACTCTGCTCCAACTAAACATGACAGATCAAACTGCGGCCCCACCCACACCTACACCATGGAAGGCAAAGTGGGGATCCTAGACCCTCCTGCTTCAGAAGCTATTGTAAGGTGCTCCCAGACCTCCTCCAGGGAGTCAGCAGAGAAGGCTGAGTGGGGACCCAGGGCTTTTCATCTCCAATGGATGAAGCAAGGTCCTCCTGCCCGCTGTGGTGTCAGGGGAGATCCCAAGGTGAATTTGGACTTCTGTCTCCACAAATATCTGTAATGAAACAATGCCTGGCTCTCCTCTGGGGTCTTGTTAGAAGGTCAAAGGAGGCTTAATGAAGTCATAACTTTCACCACGGCCCGTGGGAAGCAAGGATACTACCTGCCTCCTATCATGGTGTCAGTGGAAGCCTTGAGAGGAGTAGTAAAGAGGAATTCCTACGTCTCTCAGCCAGACAGATGCCAGTAGAGGCCCAGAGGAAACCAAGACTCCAACCCCAACTGAGAGTAATGCCGAGCCTTTCGCTTGGGTGTCAGGGGAAGCCACAGTCACATACTGTATGATTCCACTTATGTAATGAAAGTCCGAAGTTATAGAAATGGATAACAGATTACTAGTTACCAAGGGTTAAGGGAGAGATGTGAGTATGGCTATAAAAAGGCAACAAGAGGGACTTCTGCCATAATGGTAGTCCAGTATTTTGTATCTTGAGTGTATCAATGACCCTATCTCATCTGCTAGTGTATTAAAAGGGGTTTTCAAGATGTCACCATTGGGGGAAACTCCAAAGAGTACACCAGATCTCTCCGTAATATTTCTTACATATGAATTTATAATTATCTAAAACATTTTAAATTATGAAGAAAATCTTGATAAAGCATAGCTATTATACTTAGAAAGCCATGATATTGAGGTAACATACAGCATTTTTTTTTTTTTGAGACAGGGTTTCACTTTGTTGCCCAGGCTGGAGTACAGTGGTATAACCACAGCTCACTGCAGCCTTAATCTCCCAGACTCAAGCAATCCTCTTGCCTTAGCCTTCTGAGCAGCTGGGGCTACAGGCATGTGCCGTAACACCCAGCTGATTTTTAAATTTTTATTTTTAGTAGAAAGCAGGTCTCGCTATGTTGCTCAGGCTAGTCTTGAACTCCCGAGATCAAGCAATCCTCCTACCTCAGCTGCACAAAAGGTTGGGATTACAGGAACGAGCTACCATACCCAGCCTACATGCAGTAGTTTGATTAGGAGACTATGACATAGAGTTTGCTCTGCCGAGAAGTAGACTCATATACTCTTAAGTTTTAAGTACACAGGAAAGTGATTATTGCTCTGTGGTTTTTCTCAAGCCAAATAACATTTTTAAAATTCTGAAGAATTGGTTGGAAATCTCAACTATTAGTTTAGTGTATGAAATAAGATTGCCAAAAAGCCTAGAATATTCAAAATCACTAATTCGGGCTCTCATCCCTAAGAAAAGATTTATATAGAAAGCAAATTGTCATGAAAGCTTTGTATAGTAAACATGCATTCAGGCCATGAAAGAATGGATGTCAAATGACTTTGGCTACAATAGCTTAAGGCCCATAAGGCACTGGGGATGTCCTCTTTAGAGTTTTTTCAAAAACCATTCACCACTCTCTCCTCCCTGTTTTCCTTTCACTTTTCCATACCACATTCTAGTGACATGCTAATACCAGGCACTGTTGATGTCTTTCTGCTCTCATGCTTTCCCAAGGCTATAGTAGGAAGGAAAGAGAAGGGACCAAGCTTTGTTGAGCACCTAGAGATCCAGTCTCTGAGTAATCAAGTCACTTAATACCCACAAAAATCATCCAGTAAGTATATTATTATTTTACGTATGAGTATTTAGAAAGATTTGGGGTGTTTCTTGCAAACTATCAGTTAATTATTATGTTGGTCTGGCTTTTGCTGCTTTCTTATTAGATTCTCAGAGAGTTAATTCATCTCCAAGTTCTGGGGGTGTTGCCCTGCTGTTACCTAACATGAACTGATCACATTAATAGCATCATACAACGTAATTAAGAAGACTGAAATTTAATAGGTTATATTTAATTCTTAACAATTAAATTCTTGTAAGTGGTAGAATTAGATTTAGATTTTCTGCCTCTAAAGCTAGCATTCTTCTTTTCTCTGATGATTTCTAAAATTTGAGCAAGTGGACATAATAAAACAGAAAAACATTTTTTCCTTTTATTTTCATCATTTCTGACATGTAGCTAGAAACAATCTGACACAAGCTATCCTTCTGCTGCACTAATGTTTGACCACTGTCTTGATTTTCCCTGCAAGTATTCTGCATTTTGCTGTGTCCAGTGTGTTCTAGAAAAGATGGGGTTGTAGTAGCTACTTACAATTTTGAAGAAAAAGAGAAATGAGAACTGATTTGGATGATGTGATTTTGGCCTGGTCTAAAACCAATAGGAGAAGAATCATCCTGTAATCCAGTCAATAAATTTTCTCTTTGGTGGATATTTTCATAATATATCAAGACTCGGAAGGCCTGGAATTCTACAACTGACCTATAAAACATGAAGAATTAGGACAACTGTTTTGTTCAATCGAGACCGTCACTGCAATACCTATGGGAACTTCCTAATTGATATGTGTTCAGAGTAGTCTGGAACTGAGAAAAAGAAAACAGCAGCTATTTTTGAAATAATGAGAAACTTTCTCAGCTATTATACACCAACTGAAACCTATGTCACTGCCTAGAGTATTGTAATTCCCCCATGTACAAAATTGGCCCAAATAATTATCCAATGCTTAAGGCAACAGAAATAAGAGTTCTTGCACTGCTAAGTTTCCAGTTAGTAAAAGATGTGCTGGGAAGGGAGAGAAAGAGGAAAAACACATTTAGCAGTGATCAGGTTAACAAAAAATAAATAAATAAATTCACGTTCAACCTCGCCTTTTAGCAAAATAGTGAAGTCGTTAAAGTTTCTGAAACTCTTTAAATCCCACTCAACAACTCTCCTTTCCACATCCAAATGACTAGTAGATGCTTTTCCTTGGTCCCTTATTTATTCTGCATTCAGAGGGTTGTAAACTAAAGGACGCTATTAACCACCGATTAAGGTATTGCCCAATTAAGGTAACTGCCACATCAGAAGAATTTGCATGTAAACTAGTGTTCTTGAAAGCTTTAAAGACTTAAATGAGAACTCTACTGGTACATATGGAGTCATTTCTTTAGATGGAAACTAGACTGTGCATAGTGAGGGTTGATCTTGTCAACCATATGGGGGTGGTAACTTGTCACCACATAGGGAGTGGGTAGTTCAATGACAGGCATTCAGAACTTTTAACCTTAGGTAAAGCTATCACCATTGGACATGAACTTTTGTCCTGGTTTCATATGGTAACACCTTTTGTTTTACTTCCTTGTATTTACTGCCTTAGAAAAAAAGAACACATTTGTTCCCACTCCTGTTATCTTTTGGCAATGGGCCATGTATAATGTGGAAGAAAAGGGGATCAGTTTTCCATTCACTGATTAGTTGAGTGCCACTTTAAGGGAGCACCAGAATTTACTATAAAAGGAAAAGATGAACTTCATAGTTGGGAGTTTGGTATGAAGAGAAGGAATGAAAGAAGAAAGAATGGCAGGAATGTAGGAGGATGGAGGAACATGACACTGGGGTCACCAGGTGGGGCCCAGAAAGCAGGCTGCTGGTACTAGTCCAACAGAAAGGAGTCTGTTCTGCTGTAAGACAGGTAAGTGGACCTGAAGGACACTGTTTGAATATTCAGGAGCCCTACAAGAGAGAATTTTCTGCCCGTTGATTGGGCAGGTTCAATACAAAAGAGAAATTCCTGTGTTCAGTAGACAGAGTTGCCACCAGTGGATACTTGCCCCAATGCAGATGATAACTTTGCCTCATCTGAACCAGCTCCTCGTCTGTTATCCACCCCATAGGAGGGATGCTTAGGTGGATCCCATGGCTATTCCTGGGCTCCATCTGACCACAGTTCATGTTACATATGAAGATGCTTGCTAATGCACAGAAAGATTTCTCTTCAGGTAACAGGTGGAAGGTGGTATTAATATATCAGGCTAGTCACCTTTCATTTACTTAGCAGTTACTTTAGGAAAATTTCCATGTGCCAAGCACCCGGATATATTCTTGGTGATAGATGAAGCACTGTGTGTTCCTACCTCCAACACTGTTTAACTGGGAGGAGTAATTACAGCTTTTACGTTTGGTGCCAAATGGAAATTAGGGCAAAGGGCTACCAAAGGTTACCCCTGAAACACAGCAGAGGGAAGGGGATCCATTCCTCTTGGGAAGAGGCAAAGGGGAAATCGTAGATCACGCATGTCTGAACTAGGTCTAGAGGGATAAAATAGTGCATTAGGCAGAAAAGAGACAGCAGTGATTTAAGACAGAATGGGCAGTATTTTCAAATCTTAGTGGCATGAATATGCTTAGGGAATTAGAGAGTCTGGCTGAACACAAGAGATGGAAGAAGGGAGCAGAAGCTGAGTGTGGAAAGAGAAGCAGAGTCTAAATTAAGAAAGGTTTTTGGAATGTATCTTCTGGACATGAAGGAGCTATCAAAACAGTTTAGGAAGAAAAATGTCATGATGAGAATTGTGTTTTAGTGGTATGAAGCTGGTGTTAATGTGCTAGATGACTTAGTGGACAGATCACACTCAGAAAGCATATCAGATGTTTCTCCTTGGAGAGCCTGGAAGAGGAAAAATAGGTGTGCAGACAGTAAATAAAAGACAAGCCAAGGTCTAGATAAAGATGAGGAGTGAAGGGTGTCATGGAATCCAGAGGAAAAGAGGCAAAATAAATGAGGTGATAATATAAATACATTTAAAAAGTAGGCCAATGGATATGAAAACTAGAGAGGACTTGCCTTTTTGGCGATATAATTCCAGTAGAATATTAAAGAGAAATGTGTCTCATGTCTTCCAACCCCATATCCACTTTCACTGCCCTTCTTTACTGCCTCAAGGCTAAAAAAGCTGACCTGCATATTTCTTCAATGTTTTCCCTTGTCGTCTGGCTTTTATTGGGTTTTTCCAAAGGGGAATAATAAGATTAGAAGGAGGAAGAAGACAAAAGTCAGGATCTCTGTTTCCCAGCTTCTCCCAGTAGGGTCACTTTGGGCTGGCATGGTCTAGGAATCGCTATGCCTCTAAGGTGTCCTGTCTATGTCTTTCTCCTTCTGGGTTCCAGTAAGTACTTCATCTTCTTATCTTCTTGGGCCTAGTGGTGGCTCTCACGGCTCCTATAATACTAACCTTGGTTATGACACCATCTCTTACAGATATTATCTTTGTAAAAATATTTTCATAAACCATTCTAACTTGAGATGCATGTTCTTCTTATTGGGACTCAGGCAAATAGGGAGGAAGCAGGGATTTTAGGAGTTAATTGAATATGACAGAGTAGAGACAGCACATAGAAGCCACGCATGGAAGATACTTAGCTATGTAAAAACACAGGTTGTAAGTTAAATGGGGCCATAACTGAAAAAAATTATTTCAGATGGAGAGAGATGACTATTTTTATATATTGAGTCAAGGATAATTCCTTTTCTTTTTTTTAAGTCAGCAGGTTAATTAGAATAAAATCATCTATGTAGGAGGTCTCTTATATACCCTAAATGTTGGCAAATTGTCATCTCTAATTCTATTCTTTCTTAATTGCCACATATGGAAGGTAGAAAATGGGAGTCTCAATGCTTGCTTTGAACTTACCAGTCCTAATTTCTAAGCAGAATGATAAAATTTATAATCACTGCGAAACTGTGAAATGGCAGTGAAGAAAGCTGCCACGTGATTAAGTGGGGCAGAAACAGGAGTAGAGTTGATCTTAATCAGAAGATTAGTCACAGAAGGGGAATGAACAAGAGAAGGAGGCATCAGTGGGCATGATAAGGGATAATAATTACAAATGTAAATCGACCACCACAGAGTTTCAACATCACTTAGTGACACTTCCATTTTAGAGGGCTGCTGCAATGGGCAATTTATTGTATTTTGCCCCCCAAACAGCCTTTTGATTCAGGTACTTGCCTTCTTCAGAAAATGTACTCGATTAAGAGAGAGGCAATCAAGGCTACATAACATAATGTCTCAAGGCACTTAGAATACTTTTTTACCTAATGAACAGTGCAAGCAATAAGTGCTATAAGTTCACATAGAGGGAAAGGATCACTGAATTACAGACTTGTACAAATGACTTATCTATATATGTAAATCCATTGGGCAATCCATTGAGTCTGAGAAGGAGGCACTGTCCCCATTTTGTATATAAAATTCATTAGCGTCTCACAGTCTCCATTGGTTTGAAGACTCCCACAGCTTGTAGTTAGACTCAGAAAACCATGAACAGCTTTATGTTTTTTTTAAGCCCAACCAAACCCATTAATTACCCAAAAGTGCTAGAAGTTGAGTACAATATCACGTAAATTGTAGTCAGTCCTGAAAGTCCATGGTGTTTTTTATTTTGCTGGTATTTGTAAAATGTTTCAAATAACTGTAATACACAAAGAAATAACCATAGGCTAGAACTTGGAAGGTGTTAACAGAGCAATTATAAAATAAATGGATTTTCTCAATATTAGTGATTTAACCCCAATCCTCCAAAAGAAAAGAAAAGCATAGAGCATCATAATATGATAATTTTAACACATTACTTAGTGTTGCTGCTCAATTTTTGATGACATCCCTGAAGCTCAGATATTTATTACAAAAGTTAGGGCAGAAATTCTGAATAGTAAGAAAAGCAACCTAAATGTAAATGGTATGAATTGCTCCACAGGCTTGACGGTATCTAGCACACTCAGATTTCTTATTTTTTCAAAGAGACTGCTCAATCTCTCACCTGTTTAACAGCAAGAATTTCAGTGTCTAAGTCCTTTTCTACTTAATTATCTCAGAATCCCAGGGCGTTTTTCATTCTATAGGAGTTCCTGGACCATCGAAACCAGGTTGCCACTGTTTCTCACTGCTATAGTGTGACAGCTGATGACTGGTAACTTACAGGCTGACGGTCAGGTCAGCCAACTCTTCTGGTAGTGTTACTGCTTGTTGAGGTGCTACAGAAGACACAGTTGTTTTTGAAAGAGAAGGATCCCTTATCCCATAGGGCAAGTGTCATCATTCCTTGGGTTCCCAGGATCACAGTTCTTAATAATTATTTATTTAAGTTTATATACCTAGCCCCAGGCTCAAAGTATTGGATCAGTACTCGTGCCTCTGGTACAAGATCCCCACAAATCCATGGATTTTTTTATATTCCTTTCTATGAACAATTAGGTAGTGTAGGATTTACTCAAACAAAACTTACCATTTAAGGGTGGCATCTCTCAATAAATCTGAGAAATATTATATAGTAGATTATAATATAAAATGTAGCATTTCTCCAGCATGAAAAGAGGGGGAAAAGGAATAACAAAATATAAAAATGACAAAAATGGATTCTTTAGCAGTGCTCCCTCTGGCAGGGCACCTAATCATGTAATATTTTATAATTTCTATAATTGTAACGATTGCTTTAAAATGTTGTTTTATTTAAAAGGTTCCAATTTCCAGGGTACAAAATACAAAATCAGAGAGGTGGACACTTAAGATGACACATCTACTGACATGCATATGTCCTTGATGTCTGAGGTAATAGCTATGTTCCTCATCATGTTTCTGATGTGCTCTCTTCCAGTAGTTAGTGGGGCATAAAAGAAGTTCATCCCACATTCCTTGAAGAATTGGCATTAATGAAAGAGAAAGAAAATTCTATACTTATACATATAGAAGAGTCAGATACTAATATAAGGTAGTACATAGCATAGTAATAAATTAAATGCAAGGAAGTATCTAAGGTATTGAGAATACTTCTCAGAGGAGTTACATTTAACAATATTTATTCATATTAATAAAAGTATGATTGACTGGCAGACTTTTGCCATCAAAACCCATTTAAAGCACAAAGCACTTTGGCTACATTGTGCAGATAGGTTCACTCACTACCAACTCCACCTCCTCTTTAGTATATCTTCCTGTTCTTCAGAAGCTGGAAAGCTAAGAAATTTCAGCATCCCTTCTGTGTGTGACCTAAATTGCACAAGCAAAGCTAACACCTGACACAGTGAAAGAGAAAGTCGACAACGTGAAGGGGCGGCATGGAGACTGACTCTTGGGAGGATGCGGAACGACACAGGTGTCATCATAGCAGGGAAGTGACTGCGGGTTTTTGTTACTAGAGTCCTGTTTTACCAAAAGCCTTTTCTCTTGCCTCTATCATCTAGCCTACTAGAAACTCTGTAATAAACCCCTTTCTGCCTCATATAGCTACAGGAGACTAAGGCATCTGCAACTAAGAACACTGAAAGGTATAATAGTTGGTATCAGAATGATTTCAGGTGAGACACATGAAGGACATGGGGCTTGGAGTTGTTTATCTGATCTGCTGAATTGAAGGCAGGGTAGAGTGGTTAGCAGGATAGATTGGAATGGTGGTAATCTGTAACATCTACTGATGAAAGAATTATTAAATTATTGCCTTTGGTTTCTGGGAAAGATGCACCTATTAAAGGCAACAGCTATGCTTATGTGGGCCATGTTGATGGGTATGAAGAATATAGTGACAATAGGCCATGCGGTTGCTTCCAACTGAACTGAAGAGCACAAAGCAAGAAAGTAATGGGGTCAGGTTTTAAATCCTGATTCAAGTCCTGAACAAAGAACTAGAGAGTTTCTA